TCATATGTCTTCCTTGTTGGACAGGTAGTGGCGTGTGGCATTTTGGGGTCTTGGCAAAGTTACTGGGCCTCCTGATGTTCATCTGCTTTTTTGCCTTTTCACAGGTGGGTCAGCTGAAAGCGTTCTTAAGTGTAACTCTACTTTCTTTTAATTGCATATTTAAGTTTAAGAGATGTAAATGGTCACATGTCCTAAGTTGTTCACGCAGCACCATATGGACCACAAAGCTGTGCTATGATTTATTTTATTTTTTAAATCAGATGTTTACTCCATTTTTAAAATGCTACTTGTTTTATGTAATTTCTGTGTTTTGCATTATGACTCCAGGGCGTTTTTGAGCGCGTCTTCTCTGTGTGGCCCATCTCTAAGCTCTTCGAGCTGAATGGCAGCATCCACGAGTGGTGGTTCAGATGGAAGCTGGACCGATTTGTAAGTCAAATGTGTTTCCTCAAGGTGCAGCCAGGCTTTTGTCCACTCGTGTTTCACATGACAGAACCCCCCCCCCCCCTTAATTTTTTTTATTTTTAATTTTTTTATATAATATTTGTTACCCAAGTGATAACAAAATTTTCTGGCCTTTGCTGTAATCTTTTAATGTGTTGGCACTCCTCTGCAGGCGGTGATACATGGCATGTTATTTGCCTTCATCTATCTGGTGCTGCAGAAGCGTCAGGTGCTGTCAGAGGGAAAAGGAGAGACTCTCTTCTCTGCCAAGATTTCCAACTTTCTCCTCTTCCTCTCTGTTGTCTCCTTCATAGTAAGTTTGCATTTCACATATTTTGGGTCTTACCAAAATACCCGTGCTGAGCATTAGTTCTTAATTTAGATCAGTTATCATCTGTTACATAATTCTTCTAATCTAATGCTAAATATTTATTTTTTTAAATTTAGACTTCTTTGTATATTTAAGTAATAAACACAATGTGCAAAAGGGAATGCTTAAAAAGGAGCCATGTTTACTTATGTGACAAAGCCTTGGAAAGTTCTTGTTGTACTAACTGGAGATTACAGTATCAGCTTGGTAACGTGTGTGTTACTAAAACTTACTGGCTGTTTGGTAAAACGTGGCACTTAAAATCTTCTCCACGTCATTCTAGACTTACTCAATATGGGCAAGCAGCTGCAAAACCAAAACGGAGTGCAACGAGATGCATCCCTATATCTCTGTGGTCCAGGTACAGTTTTTATCTGTCCTTATCTTTGTTTCTTTGGCTTTTCACACATGAAGTGTTGGTGCGATCAAGTCTGAAAGTTTCTCTGAGTACGATTAGTTGTTACTGCTGGAAATCCTGCATTTGATTTTGGGTTAAGAGGTGGCACCTGGAGGCAGGACGGATAACGCTGAGGCCTTAAATGCCTCATTCTCACATTGGCTCAGATGAACAATATACAGAGTTTGTGCTAAAAAGCTGGAAGGTTAAAGACTGTTTAATGTCTGAACTGTTTGGGACATCTGCGCTTTCGCCCACTGTTCTGTGTCGATTGGCTAATTCACATGTTTGGAAACAACCCTGACATCAGAGGCCTGCACTGTGATGTTTCATGCATGTAACTTCAGGGTATATTGCCTCGGGAACCTGCACCGCAAACAAGATTAGAGATCATCAGGTGTGAAATCGCTGTCTGCTGACCAATCAGTTCTCTGGAAAAAAGCATCACCATTCCTGTGCACCATCAGTAGAAAGGTCTAAAGTTTTCTAATAGTGTCTAATGTCTTTGCCTTTCTCTGATCAGTAAGAAATATAAATTATTAGAGGCAACTTTATTATTATTTTTTTCTGTTGTCTAATTTTAAATTCATTCTTTTACTTTTATTCTTTACTTGCTCTCAAACATCACTGATGTTGCAGCTGAGAGAATAAAAGCTAAAGGTGTCTTTTAAAGATTCAATCCTGGATTAACTGACGATCTAGCTTTGTGTCTGACTGCTTATCATGCCTCCCAGTGTAAGGCAAAGTGAATCCAGATAACCTGGATATGATGAGCTTTCTTCGTAGTTTTGGCCCATGTCATCTGAGCCATGAAGTTAAATTTACTACTTAACATGATTTCATGACAGTCTGATATGATTGTGAGACCAAGCCTAATAGCTCACCATGTTATCTACAGTCAATTCACACTGGAAAAGATGTTTTCTACATATATTGCCACCATTACTATATTTAACCATTCGTCTGTTTACACCACTTTAGTGTTTACAGTTCTTCAACAAGCTTGACCTGCTACTTCTTTAGTGATAAGCATGATTTACCTGTTGTAACGTCACACTTGGATTCCTAAAAATGTCTGTGATCTGTTTTGTGGGCAGATTTTGGCCTTCATTCTCATCAGGAACATTCCTGGCTATGCCCGTTCTATATATAGCTCATTCTTTGCATGGTTTGGAAAGATCTCCTTAGAGGTAAGGTTCTCCTTGCTTTAGAGTCACAGTTAGCAATATAACCCTTAAATAAATCTCCAATCACAAAAGACTAGAGTCTTATGAGAGGTGTTTTTTAAAACCATGCTTTTTGTGTCCCACAGCTTTTCATTTGCCAGTACCACATATGGCTTGCAGCTGACACCAAGGGGATTTTGGTCCTCATCCCAGGAAACCCCTCCCTCAACATTTTCGTTAGCACCTTCATCTTTGTTTGTGTGGCTCATGAGATTTCCCTCATCACCAACGACCTGGCCCAGGTGGTCATCCCCAAAGACAGCATGGCTCTGCTGAAGAGACTGGGGGCCATGGGGATTCTCAGTCTCGTTATACTGCTGGTGTCCAGGGCTGGCCAGCCCACACCTGGCGCCTGATGGACATCTCCTGAGGGGATCTGGGGGAGGGGCGGGAGACCCACTAAGACCCTGCTGAGATTGAAGTGAGGTACAGATGGAAGTCAGGAGGCAGCCTTGTGTTTTAGCTACTGGTGAGACGATGTTGGCAGCGGTGACCCTTGGGAGAACAAAGTCTGTCCGCTGGCCACATTTGAGCAGAGTCCGTACTTTTCTGACTGCTGTGAAAGTCGCACACTGAAGAAAAGACAAATGCCCAACAGAGAAGGAGTCACTCCTTTAACAGCAAAGTCAAAATTGTGGGAAAGGAGTTAAAAAAAAAACAAAAAACAACAACACACAAAAAAAACCAATGAAATGTTTACAATATCTGGTTTCAGGATTTTGGAAATGCAGAATCTAAAAAAACAAAGCACGACGTCCTCATTTTAAGACTCATGCCTGCTGCATTTGGCAGCGTCGCGTCTGTTTAGCCAAACGCTGATAATAAGTTTTTGTTACATGCAGAACTTCCTGTAAATCGCTTTGGGAGGGATCACCTGGCACACACTCCGTCCATGTTGTGCAGTAGCAGCTGAAGGAGGGATTTCACTCAGGTGGATCCATAACCTGCATATTCAGATATCTACTCTTTTACAACAAATGCGTTAAATTGTGCTGCATTTTTATCGTCAACATTACGTTGTACAGTATTCCTGGTGACTTCAAACTGCGTCAGATATCTAAATATGAGATATATGGACCAACGACTGGCTCGGATGATCAAAGAGTGACTAGAGTCAGAAAACTTGGAGTGCAATGGTTAATATGTTGGAATATCCTTCGACGTGTTTTTGCTGTGTTTTATTTTTTTCTTTTTTTGTGCGTGATTTTGCTGAAAGGCTGTGGTCACCTGCTGTAGCGCTGAAATTCTATGTGACATGTACAGTATTTAATGATTTAAATTAAGTTTATATTTTATACGGTTTTTTGGAGGGAGGGTGGGGCAGGTGGGGGCTGGCTTTGTTTTATTTTATACTCTGCGACTGCTGTTTGTGACGGAAGTGTTCTATAGACAATTTTGTACCCATCCCAGACCCTCATAGACAATTACCTGATGGTGAGGTTGATCCTTTTAGCCGTCTTGTCTCATCTGTAGCTTACTTCCTAGTCGGTGTATATTTGTACAGTAGTGACAGATTTATTTTATACAGCGTTGCTTCCGCAGTAATTTTGGTCTGTTATTGTTTTTTTTAATGTCCATTGAAACATGCCTCATACCTCTGGCAGAAAGTGTACCAAGTTTCACATGCTGTTCTAAGCAAACTGCTGGGTGACAAATTAAAGGAAAACCTTTGACGTGTGCAGAAAGGGGCTGTGGTGGCTCTCAAAGGCTGCAGGGGGCGCTGTAAATCAACTTGTTTTGAATGACTGCCTTTTAAACCAATGATAAAATTTGTCCCTATGGGAGTGGTTTCTCCCACAAGCAATATGACCCCCCCCCCTTTATAGTCACCTGAGCTCAACCTAACTTGCATAGCCTGAGAGATTTTAGATTTTTATTTTTTTTTCCTTTCCTACTGATCTTGGAATTTGCTCCACATCCTTCAAAGTACAAGATGATAGAAATTATGATGTTTACCCAACGCCTCACTAAGACACTTTATTTTTTTTATTTCCATTAAATTGTTACCAATCTGTTTTCCTTGAGCTGCCACAGCCACTGAACTTTGTAGTCAGTGAATGAGTGACTGAAGTGATGTCTTAGTGATGCCTTTTAAACAGACTGTGTGGTGTTTTGTTTTGGGGGTTTTCCCAGTGGCTTATACCTACAGTACATCTTCAGATGAAGACTTACATCTGTGATGCAGCTGTGATCATAAACTTCCATGTTTTAGGCACTTTGTATGGGGGGCCACAACCACATCATTTAGAAACCACTAGGTAATGCACTGAGTGAGCTGACATTACTGTTAAGGAAAAATGTCGTACATTTCATCAGGCGGTGTCTGTCCCCTTTTGTCCTGGCAAACATGTGAGGGGGAGATGATTTTTATTTTAAGATCTGCTCCCCCCCCCCCTTTTTTTTTAAATTGTTTTTTTTTTATTTACTTGTTGAGGTAATATTCAGCGTTTAACGTTGAGTTTAGCACAGTACCAGTGCACTTACTCAATGCACTTTTCTTCTTTTTTTTTTTCTTTTTTTGCTCAATCAAATGTTTGCAGATTTATGACAATATAACGTAAGATGTATTGCAAATGATTTTTTTTATTTCAGCTGCCATCAGGTAGAAAGCATTAAGTCATCCTCTATTCATTTATGTAATGTGGGTTCACAGCGGAACAATTTGCGCAAAATGCGCAGCTTTCATCTTTCTTTCTGGTTGTTTGGGTTCTGTTCTCAAACTGGGAGCCAAGTAAATGTTTAATTTTTAACCACTCAGCACCTCACTGTACAGATGAGAATGGCATATAGAAGTTTCCATTCTCTTTGGTGTGTTAAGTTTACTGATCTGTATGATGGTTTGGGGGTTTTTCTCATCTATTAGTGAACAACCGCGATACAGTAAATTTGGTTAATGTATCGGGCCTTAATTGATCTCTTTGGTTATGTAAAAGCAACAACTATTTATACCCCGTGTAGGGCCTCTTTTGAAATATATTACATGTATTAAAAAAATTGTGATGTCTTAAAAAAATGTGAAATGTATCCATATTATTTATAAATGCCTTTATTCTGTTGTACATTAAGAATATCTTCATAAAAATGTGCTGTTTTGGCTTCTTTTAGTGGATGGAGTGGGAAGGGGGTGTTTTTTTTTTTGTTTTGTTTTGTTTTTTTGTTTTCCACTGGGACAGAAAGTTATTTTGAAAGAGTTTATTATCATGTGACACATTGAACAAATGTTCTAACACATGGCGACGAAAGCATTTCAATATAAAACACCCTTACGCCCCGAGAGGTCCGCTGGGCAAAGCAGTATGACATACAAACATATTAATCACACTTTAAACATTTAAACGGATATTCCAAAATAGTCTAAGTTATCTTTATAATCGGCTAAGCTCTTCGGGTCTTTTTCACACTCACTAGTCAAGGTGCAAGTGCGCAAGTGGACGATAAAATTTTCACTGCTAACACATGCAGGTTGGCACAAATTTTAGGACAAAGGAAGAGGGGCAGCTGCAACACTGGTGCTTCTGGTCATAAATTCAGAGCTTCAGCCACCTTTCTCTCCTCAGGAATACCATTTACCTGGAACACAGTGAAAGCAACAGCTGAACCACAGAGACGTGACAAAACTTCCAGAAATCTAACACTAAATACAGATGTCAGCAGCAATGCTTGGGATCCAAGCAGACTGCACACACTTTGTTAGTGCTTATTGTTCGCTGGTAACTGATGCATGCTATTGACTACTAGGACTGACAGTTTGTACCCTGCCTGGTCCCTTCCTACAGTAGCTGACTTGCAAGCATAATAATTTTATGCTCTGTCTAATTTAAAGGCCTGCAAAAGCATCACGCTCCGTTAGTTGCAGGTGTTAAATAGCTTATTAAAGCATGATCTGACATTTAGCAAAATAAAAATGCCTAACTACAATGAGACACTGCACATCACGGTAGACTGATCATGTTTTGAAGTTTATAACCTCAACTTGAGATTAACAAAGTCCACAGAGGATGCTCACTTAATTTTTAGATAATTGGTCCAAGAATTTCAGAGGAGAAATTAGAATTTTACTCCTGACCATATTCTGTTTGAGATAACTGCAAAAGTTTAAACTTATTATTACAGCGCCACCTATGGATACAGTTCAAACTTTTCACAGATGATGCTCACTTAATTTTTGGACAATTGGTCCAGAATTTCAGAGGGGAAATTAGAATTTTACTTCAGACCACTCTCTCAAGAGTAATGTCTTCTGGATTTCGCAACACAACCGTTTTTAGCATGGTGAAATAAATATGGAGAAGATGAAAAATCTGAACATTTACAGTTTTTCCTGCAGCTTCTCTGCTTGGATCCCAAATTATCTCAGCTTTAAATCATGAACAGCCGGCAGCACCTACCTCCAGCCTTCGAAATGTTGACATGACATAGTTATCTCCTTTGTTAGCAGTGAACAGAGAGAGGATTCGGTTAGTGCATCATGCAGCTGATACCCGTGCTCACAGGAGGGCGCTCACACGCCAGCGTCACCATTAGTCGGCTCATGCAGCAGATGATAACGGTGCAGTGATGCAGAAGGAACAGACTGAAGTTATAAGAAACTATGAAGCCAAGTGGTTTTATATGGATTCGCATTATTGATGCCAGTATAGTCCAAGAACTGAATTTAGTGAGAAGTAATATAAAGGCAAGTGAATTGTAAGTCATTTTTACTGTGAAGGTGCTTAAACCTTCAGAGGCATGCTTTACTGCACTTGAAGTCCTGATGAACATTCGGCAAGAGAGAGTGTGTTACCAATAGCAGACATCCAGGTATGCTGACTCTATGCTATGAGCTGCTGTTAAACATCTGTCATTTCAAAGAATTCCTGGAAATATACTCATGACATATGTTCCTGAAAGTTCTAACCATTCAGCTGCTTCATATTACAAGACGGCTGTCTTAAGATTCTCACCTGATGGCCGCTGCTGTGGTATCGTAATCTGGTTTTGCAGATTCCTGAAATCATAAACAACAATATTATGCCAAAGCATGTTATAAAAATGTTTGGGGTTTTTTTTGTTAGTTTCAAGCCCATTAGGAGAAATCATGGGACAGCTTGAAGCTCTTAAGCTCTAGTTGTACTTTCCAAAGGCCTGACTTGCTTTCTGTAGCTATAGTTGTAAACACCACATAGTTGGAAAGTGCTTGAAACAACATGGCATTGTTCCAACTTTTCCATTTAACACCTATAAGCCTCATATCTGCATCTGCTAATGAGTGTGGGCGTATGTGTGGCTGTACTTAGTCATCCATCCGTCTTATGTTTCCCACCAAATCCCTGAACTCACGCCTGTGTCTGCATCAGCGGCATGCTGGTGGTCTCGTAGTTGTCGGGGTGGATGGGTGGAACCACCTCGCCGCTGACTGGGTTGAAGACAGGCAGCGTAGAGAGCGGCCAGGAGATTTCCCTGTTCTTTGACATGCTCCTCAGTTCCTTGGTGGACTTCTGGATGGAGCTGTGGTGAACCAGCTGGATGCTGGAGGAGGGGAGAAGCAGTGAATTCATATTGCAGCACGTTTCTGTGTCATGGGTAGGGGGTTGGTCTCATCAAAGCTTAAGTGATGTGCACTCAAGTTTGTGCATGCACAAACAGAACTATAACATCCAACCTCACCTACTGCTGTTCTTTTTCTCTTTTTTGGGGGTTTGTTTTCCATTTGTTTGAATTAAATTTTAGGTGTAATGCTGAGTACATAGTTCTGATAATCCTACAGCTGGTCATTACATTTTTTTCAGCAGCCCACTGAATGAATGGATGCCAATGCCAACGCACGTATGAGCGTATGAATGGACATGAAACAGCCATGAATGACAACATAAATGACCAAAACTGCAAACCAAAAACAGAGGGAGAGGGAACAGAAATAAAATTTAAAAGAAGAACACAGGAGAGGTAAAACACTTACTCTGGTGTTTGCATGTTTCTTTTTTCCCTAGAAACAAAACAAAATGGATGAATTAAATACTAATATTAATAGGTAAAGCAACATCTGCACACAAGTGAATGAATGGATTGTTGGATAAAGACAAGGTGGACATGATGTGGAACACTGAGTGGAAAAAATAAAAAGGGGAGGGGAGGCACACGTCTATCCCAGCCTGTAAACGATGGATGAGGATGACTGATCATCCATGTTGTGGCTATGCTTCAAAACATCAAGATGCAGATGACAAGAGTCACAGAGACCCGAGACAAACAGTGATGAGGAACTTAACTACTGCATGGTAATGACAAGCTGCAGTTAAAGTCCAGATTTCCACTCTTTTTCAGTTATCCTACAGCTAACTGAGCTTTTCAGGCTTATTTTTGCTGTCTCTCATATGGTTCTCGTACACTTTTGGCTGCTTATTGGGGTATTTGGTGCAAAATTTGCATAGAAATGTTAAGACCGAGCACACTTACACCCCTTCCCGCCTGCAGCACATAGTGTAGCCAAGGATGAAGAAGAGAACTAGCGCCACGGCGGAGGGAACAGCCAACGTGACGAGGAAGTCGGAAAAGTAGTCCCGGCTTTTCAGAGACTCAGACGGGGGTTTGTACTCCCCGAATTCGGGCAGGATCCCTGTTCCGGGTTCGGGACGTGTAACGTAAACTGGGACTACTTTGTTGATGTCAACCTTAAAAGAAAAAAAAAAAACAAAGACATAAAGATCAATTAGAGGTTGCATACTTTTAGTGCATTTTAATGCATTTTTAGTGAATTTGTTGGAACGCATCCTCACCAGAGAAATCTTACACCAGTCGATTTGAAACTGAGCTCGGAACTTCTTGTCACAGCTGATGACGGGCTCCATCTCCTGACTGCAGCGCAGCTGGTTATGTGGGCTTTCCACCTCCCGCAGGCACGACGAGAAGGGAACATCAGCACCGACCATCACATAGACGCTAGAGGAGAGAAGAGAAGAAGAAGATGGAGTCTAATTTTACAAGTTTATGCTGAGGTTTGTAATAATCAAGTGTTCTCTCCTGCTGAGTGCTCTGCTAGAGCTAGCTTTCAAGTTCCAGCGTAAATCTTTGATGAACAACTTATGGCAGCTCATGTTGGCTATTCCCATCTGAGTTAAAGGAACTGACAGCATATCGGTGTAGACGGCTACGTGCTTTCATCTAATTTACAGAAAACTGAGGATCCCCAAAGCCCCAATTAAATTAATGTTAACATAATGTGAGTGGGCTGAAAATACTGTTGATTTGTTTGATTTAGAGAGGTGAAGAGGTCACTCATGGAGAGATTTGGCACAGACGAGCTGAACCGAGTAGAGCTAAATCTTATCCTTGAATCCTTGTAAAGGAAAATATGTAAGTAGGGGATTACTTAAAAAAAAAAAAAAATCACAAATGTTTTCTGTTTCTGCTCAGATGAGACCCACGTCCAGATCCTCACCCTTCTTTTAAGTTGTTAATAGGTAGCGGCACCCGGCCACCGCGGTCCAGTGCCGATGTAATGTTGATGGCATTCAGCCGCTCGGGCTGCCAAACGTTCTTCACCGCTCCCAGGAAGTCTCCCAGCACCTCACTGGCCAGCATCTCCTCCACATTCATATTTTTGATGTAGAACTCTGCTTGGTAAGGCAGGGGGAACTCTGTGCATAGAGACAAAGACACAGTCAGAGAGAAAGACTTAAAGAGGTTAAAGGCAGCAGGCTGAGGTAACAGTAGCTGACACTGATTTTTACCAGTCTGTCCACCGGACACTGCTTTGCCTGCGCTGCCTTGTTATGACTCTGCTTCCTTCGGGGCCCAGATGGCAGATGACATCACAGCACAGGGAGAGTGATGTTACATTAGCAGTTTGAACAGCTGCTGAGCGTTCCCCCTGACTCAGTTCATACTGTACTGCCTGTACTGTGATGGGTCAATATGGCAGTGAGCAAATCTACAGAAGCGCAGGTGCAGAGATGCTCTCCACAGCAATACAATGAAAACTCAAACTGAGGTAGGATTGTGTGGGGTTTTCACCATGACTGACTGAAGTGGACACTTCACTAGAACTATACAGTCCTTCAAGTATCCTTTCAAGACATTATGATCTTATTAGGGCTGCCACAAACGATTATTTTGATAGTCAACTAGTCACCGATTATTTTTGCGATTAATCGACTAATCAGATCATGCATCCATTGGACGTACCAGCATGCATCTGCTCTTATATAACTATCATTAGCTTACAGCGTTAAGTGTTTAAGGT